TGCAGTTTGCAGATGAATGGAGCTGACATGCAATTCCACAAGGAATGCAAATGACATTCCAGAATCTGCAAAGGGCACTCCCTTTTCCTAGGCTGATTTTCTGAACCGATTAGGCAGATAAATTGGGCCAGGTTCAATGGGTGTTGCCCCCAAATGTCTAACCCATTTTCTTCAGAATGAATATCTAAGTGAAATCCATTTGCAGAAACAAAACAAAAAAGTCATTACTAATTGTCAGATCCAGCAAGCCTTGCTATGATCCAACTGCCTAAGGAAGGACCCAGTTTTAAAGCAATATTTCTCCTTAGACGGGGAGAACCAACCTCCTCCTGCAGATCTGAGAGCTGATACAATTGCAAAGAAGACTGATATCATTCTGGTGTGCATTAACAGAAATGCCATATGTAAGACACAGGAGGTAGCTGTCCCGCTCTACTCAGCACTGGTGAGGCCTCATCTGGAGTACTGTGTCCAGTTCTGGGCTCCACGCTTTAGGAAAGATGTGGACAAATTGGAGAGAGTCCAGAGGAGACCAACAAAAAATGATAAAAGGTTTAGAAAAACTGACCTATAAGGAAAGGCTTAAAAAAATGGGCACGTGTAATCTTGAGAAAAGAAGACTGAGGAGGGGAACCTAACAACAGTCTTCAAATATGTTAAGAACTCTTATAAAGAGGACTGTGATCAATTGTTCTCCATGTCCACTAAAGGTAGGCAAGAACTAATTATCATAAACTGCAGCAAGGGAGATTTAGGTTAGATATTAGGAAAAAAACTTTCTAACTCTAAGGGTGGTTAAGCTCTGGAACAGGTTTCCAAGGGAGGCTGTGGAATCCCCATCATTGGAGGTTTTTAAAAACAGGCTGGACAGACCCCTGTCAGGGATGGTCTAGGTTTACCTGGTCCTGCCTCATCACAAGGGGCTGGACTTGATGACCTCTCGAGGTCCCTTCCAGCCCTACATTTTATGATTCTATGACCAGCGAAAAGATAAGGGGTGGCGGGGGTGTGTGGGGAGAATTTTTCAGTTTAACTGAGGCAAAAAAAGAATAGTGCCTCCAATATTCAGTCAGTTACAGAGTGGTTGAGGAAACTGGGAGTCAGGATTCCTGGGCCTCAACTTTGGGGCAATTCCATTTTTGGGTGCCCAACTGAAAGCAAATCATAAGGGTCTGATTTTCAGAGGACAGGTGCTCAGCATTTTCTGAAAACCGGGCCCCTATAAGATGTGTCAAAATTGGACACCCAAGAATTAATAGGCGTGTTTGATAATTTGGCCTCTCTGTGTCTGGATAACCCTTGCCTGACTGATGGGGCTTATTAGTAAAGTTAATGTCAGTAAAGTGCTGTGGGACACCTGGAGGAAAGGTGGGTGCTAGATAAAATAAATTGGTTTAACCTCTCTCTGTGTTCAGTAGGTCCATATTATTTTATATCCCCTAGCAGGAATGCAGGGACTGCAACAAGGAAACAAGCTGAAGGAATGTCCTTTCTCTGCTTCTCACCATCTTTGCTCACACAGGGCCAGATTCTGTTCTCATTTATTCGGGCATAAATCTGGAATAACTCCAGTGGAATTATTTGCAGACTCACTCTGGTATAACCAAAAACAGAATGCGGCCTACTGCAAGCAGTGCACTGTTCCTGGCTATTATTTCCTTGATTAGCTGCATGTTTGACTCTTATACAATCCCCAGAGTGGCAATTTTTCTTTTCATTCCAGTTTATGTGCTTGGTGTTTCATTGCCTTAGTACACTCCCACACCCTCCGCAGCCCTCTCTGTGGTGGAAAGAATGTGTGTAATCTCATTGTCCTCGTCTTGATTTAGCTTGGGTTTAGTTAGCATGACTTAAATGTCACCTTTTTCCAAGTAGAGATGCAAGGTTACACCTGTGGCTTGATATTAGCTGGTTTGGTTGTAACCTAGGCTCCTGCCTAGGTGTTAGGCCTAGCAAGGGTACAACTCAACTAGCTATAAGGTGTTACCCTGAATCTCTACTAGGAAAAAGGAGTTAGGTCAGACTTAGCGACCTTAGCTAAGCTTGATCTAACCTGGAGCACTTCTCGTAGTCAAGCCAAGGCTGGTTTCCCCCATGGAATATTACAATGGCTTGTAACTTTATTGTCCCTGAGGGAGAGGAAAAGCCACGGATGCTGGAATTGTGTCAAAGAAAGAAACTGTCATTGTTGAGTCCTTTAGGATCTACTGTAGGGAAGCAGGGATGGAAACTTAGGGACAGATCTTTCATTTCTCTCAGTCAAAACTCATACTGACTTCAGAGAGGGTAAGAACTGAGGGCCAGATTCTGAGACCCTCGCTCATGCCGGCCAGCACTGAAAGCCATGTGGGTCCTAGGGTACGTCTACACGGCAGCAAGTCCCAAAGCCCGGGACAGCTGACGGGTCATGGGGCTCAGGCTGCAGTGCTAAAAATGGCAGTGTAGATACTGGGGCTCAAGCTGGAGCCTCGGCTCTGAGATGCTCCCCAATCGTGGGATTTCAGAGGCTAAGCTTGAAACGTCGACAATGCTATTTCAAGCCCCACAGCTTGAACCCTGTGAGCTGGTCAGCTGACCTGGGCTTTGAGACTTGGTGTTGTGGGACTCTTATCATTGCTGTGTAGACATACCTCTACTAACTACAGTGGGACCACTCGTGGAGTAAGACACTATCCAGTGTGAGCAACAAGATAAGATACTCATCTGGCGTAAATCAGCACAGCTCCATTGACGTCAATGAAACTATATCAATTTACGCCAGGTGAGGATTTGGCCTTTGGCCCAGAGTATTAGAATCTTGCTCTGAGTGAGGACTGGAGGATGGGGTACTAAGAGAATGTCTCTCTCCATGTTAATATCCCTGTCAGGCAGGAGCGGCGCCAGGGTTTTTGCCGCCCTAGGCGGCAGCGCTCCTTCTCTGAGCATTCGGCGGCGGGGGTCCTTCCGCTCCGCGTCTTCAGGGCACTTCAGCAATGGGTCCTGGAGCGAGTGAAGGACCCGCCGCCGAATTTCCGCCGAAGACCCGGAGCGGAAGGACCCCCCGCCGCCGAATTTCCGTCGAGGGCGGCGAAATGCCGCCCCCCAAATCCTGCTGCCCTAGGCGACCGCCTAGGGTCGCCTAGTGGAAGCGCCGGCCCTGTTGTCAGGTCTTTCACTAGGTTGTTTGTATTTTTTTTTTAATCATCTTAACTGGAGAGGAATTGAGCCTAATTTTACAGATCCACGTGGGAATATATGAGTGTCAGAGTACATATAACTTTTTGTTATTCATGACTGACAAGTTGGAGGGAGTGGGTGTAAAATATAATTTTATGGCTCTTCAGGGTTACTGTAGACTCACACTCTGTGTTTCCTCCTTTCCCTCAAGTTTAACAGTGCTTCTTGCATCTTTCTAGCATATTTCCTGTTTTCCCCCCCCCCCTCCAACTTTTGGTTCCAAACACTTTGGCTGGCTGCAGTCCAGACTGAGAACCAAGCAAATTGCTGGATTCTTCCACACAGCTTTCCAGAAAGCCGCGGTAAAGCCGAGACTGATGTAAGATGTTAGAGGTGTGGCCCAGCACCTCATTTAAATACTGTCCTCGCCCCTGTACTGAAAGAAGCTCTGGCACAGAAATGAGAAGGATTCACATGCCGAGAGTGGGGTCAGGTAAAGGCTATGTCTACACTAGCAGCCAGGGATATGATTCCCAACTCGTGTAGACAAACTTGCGCACGGACTCATTGAGCAACTGTGCTAAAAATAGTAGAATCATAGAATATCAGGGTTGGAAGGGACCTCAGGAAGTCATCTAGTCCAACCCCCTGTGCTCAAAGCAGGACCAACACCAAATAAATCCTCCCAGCCAGGGCTTTGTCAAGCTTGACCTTAAAAACCTCTAAGGAAGGTGATTCCACCACCTCCCTAGGGAACCCATTCCAGTGCTTCACCACCCTAGTGGTGTAGCAACGGGCAATGGCGGTGGCTAGCTGCCCTGAGTATGTACCCCCAGCGTCCAGGCGGGTTTGTACTCAGCACAGCTAGCCTCTTGTGTGCACAAACAACCATTGCACACGTAATGCACCTAGCTGTCCATTTGCACTTTCAATTATCCACTTTGCATGTGCAAATGTGCAGTGGAATCCTAGTCCCACTGGATTAAATGGCAAAACTCCCACTGATTTCCATTCCAACAGAATTTCATCTGTGGTGTTTTCCAAATAGATCCTCCTTTGGAAACCTGGCTTGTAAGGTCATTCTACTGTAGTTGGCATTTCATCTTCCATCGTTTTCTCAAAGTGCACATAGGTAGAAATGTCGATTCAGCACAGCATCCTGGGCTAGTTTCATTCATCTCTGAACCTGCTCCTGTATGCATCTCCTGAAACCCTTTCCTATGTTAGTGCCTCACCCTAAGCCTTCCCATACCCATAACTCCCACTGATGTCAAGGGGAGTTTTGCCTCTATTGTAACTCCATGACCTATTTACTGTTCTGATGCACTGAGTGACCTTTGCATCTACTGTAAATAGAGTGATGAATTGCACACTTCATCCCAGAATCCTTTGGAGACCCATAAGCATGGATACATTTGGAAACAATGTTGCTTTTATATGGGTGCATGCCAAAGGAGACAGTGGGCCAGATGAATCCCTGGAACAAGTCCAGTGGACTTATTCCAGGGATGAATTTGGCTTGATATGTTGCCTGGGTCATTCCTGTTTAATTAAAAAATATGCCAAGACGAACTTAAGTGTTTAGAAATGAGCTTGTCACTCAGAAATACTTTTATTCCCGGTAATAAAAATCCTCCCCCTCACTGCCCCGGATGCACACTAAATTATCACTGGGCTTGAATCCACAGCAGTGTCTCTTGGTTTGCAGTTTGGTTATCAGAGGCTACTGCTTGTCAGCTTTCTATGTCTGTTGACCATGCCAGCGCCTCTGCTGTTCTTTCACACCATGCCCCTGACAGCGCGGTTACTGCTACAGACAGACTGGGGTGGAAGTGGGGACTTACCACTGTGCAGCAGAGAGGCCAGAACCACCAGAGCAGAGCCAGCATCAGGAGAAGAAAGAGGATCAACAAGGCGATGGCCAGGATGGTCCCATCAGACTGCAAGGGGGAGAGGCAAAGAGAATGTGAGCTGCAGCAGGAGCTAAATACAAACTCCTCCCTCCCCAGCACCTACAAAGCATCCTGCATTGGTATGAGTGCACGCGGTCCTTTGCGCCCAGTAATTACCCTGATAGGCTCTTGCACACTCAGTTTATTTTTACTTACAAAGCATAATTTCCCAGACCCCCATTTCCCCTCCCCCCTGACACCTTCCCTCCTCCTCTCACCCACGTCATCACTCAATCACTTCAGTGCTAGTGGAAGCTGACGCCCTCATAGCCCTGCAGAAGGAGGGCATCTCTTTATTCAGAGGACATGTGTAGCAGCTATGCAAGAGGATCCACCTCCAGGGGCAAGAAAGGAGTTCTTGGCCTCTCAGCGGACCAATCAGAGCTGGTTTATTGAGTGATGTGGACATCTGCCTACTCTGCAATGGACTGAGACTACCAGTTCATTTCTTATAGACCTCTGAACAGCAGCCGGACGGTAGCCAGATTTAACCATAGAGGGGGGAGGTGTTTGACCACTATGACCAAGGCCTTGAGCCACCCAGTCCCACAGTTGATTTATCCGTCATGTCTAGATGAGTTCACGATAGTGGCTTTTTTGAGGTGAAAGGTTATTCTGGCTCAGAAGCAGCTCAAAATACCAGTTAAATGGTCTGTAGCCACATGGGATTCTGCAGTTGTCATCCTACTACATGTCATGACCACTGGGAATTGATTGGCAGGACTGGGAATAGAACTCAGATCCTCCTGCTCCAAAAGGTGGAGCTAAAGGTGAAGCTCATTAGCTCTTCTATTCTATTCTATATCAGTTCTTAGACAGTGCTCATCAGCATAGTATCTCAGCATCTTCCAGTAGTGCATTAGTTATTAGCAGTGTAGGGACTAGATCACAGAGTTGGGCAGTTCTGAAACCAATCAGTAGATGGCAATGGTGCACACCCACAGTAACCCAGTGGGTTTTCAATCTTTTCCGTATCAGAACCCTATCTCCCCCCTAAGGATTCCCCTCCCATCTAGCTGGAACCCCTCTCCCATTTAGCAGTACGGGAAGGACAGGGTAATTGCAGCCCCCTGACACCTGTTTGCAAATCCCACTCTGAGAACTTCTGCACTATCCAACTCACTGCAGCGATCAAAATTGAACATGACATGTCTCATTGCTTCCAGATTTAATTTGAGGGATAAGCTCTTAGCTTCCTGAGATAAGCCAGTGTTTCTATGCCATTCCTGTCTTCTATCAGGCTTTGGAATCAGCAAGCAGGCAATTCGCTTTGGCTGGAGTCCAGTTGAGATGTTTTTGGTCTAAGAGCCAGACAGTTTTTTAAAAAAAGATCAAGATTACAACTTCTTATGGAGGCCTCTCGTGACATCAGGTTGAACTAGAGGGTTCTGGAGGCTCTGTTATCCAGGTGTTTATTTAAGTAGCTGTCATTCATTGGCTGGCTGATCACCGATCACAATGTTATTGTCAGCAGTGTGAGCTCAACCAATGAAAAATCAGATCAGGAAGGTTTCTCAAACCTATTTGGGGAATTTAGAAATAATTGCTAGAAAACTGGCAACCCAATCCCCCAAACACAGAGAGATGGAGAGAGACAGCTCAGGCAAAAGAAAAATCTCCCCAAACCTTTCACGGGACCCCAACTAAACTCTCTAATATATGCTGGGGAACCCTACGATCCCTGCAGTAGCCCCGGATCAGAAGGGCACAAAGTTGGCTTAAAGCCACCATAGCCCACCCCACTCACTCCCTAGGCTTTGTGTTCTTAGCTTCACTGTTAGAGGCACAGCACAGAATCTCACCCATTGTGCTCTCACAGGTAGCTACTGAGTGCTGGGCACTCCAGAAAAGATACCTCCCCTCCCACTGTCCCCCCATTGCATTAGCTGCCACGGAAGCACAGAAGAAACAGACTCAGGAAATCTTTAGGCTCTCATTGCTCTTAGCTCCCATCACTTCTTTGCTGCCTGTAGCTCACAAAAGCATCTTTTCATTAACAATAGCCTACAGTCTGATTGCTACAAAACAAAGAAAAATTAGAGCTTTTTATACTTGTCTGTTAACCACAATTTGTTTTTAGATTTTTCTTTTGCAATTGCCTGTAAATACCCTGCTACATTATCGCATCTGGTTTTGTGCTAGACATCTTAAGTTGCCAGATGTTATACTGTATCTCATAATAAAAAAAATAAATAAAAAATTTGGAAAGTTTCTATATGCAAAATCTTCACGTCCTTACTCAGGCCATTACTCTTACTGAAGTTCAGTTTTGTCTCAGTGAGGATTGCAGGATTTGATCTGATGTACCCACCAAAAATTCAACCTTGAAAAATGTTGGTTTTAATTTTTACAAACTTCAAAAGATTGAATCTAGAGTTTGTGACTACAACTTCTGAAATATATAATGTTTTATTTTACCAATTTACTGATATTCTCAGCCTATGCACTGTGTACTCCGACACAAAACATATTAAAAATAAGAGTGATCAGCCTTTTATCTAAATCTACATGAGTCCTGAGAGATTGAGCGAATCCAGACTGCTGAGACAGCTGTAAAAACCTCTGCCAAACACTAGCCTAGGTGTAAAACTTGTGTAATTTACTCCTTGACAACTGTTGAGATGCACCAACTATGCTTGGAGTGGTCTTTTATTTTTAAATGTCTTGCTATGATACCAAATAATTTTTTTAAAAAAATTAGCCTCTAATGTGCTGCAGATTTTACATGGTAGGACTCTGACGTCCAGACTGTGAAACAAATATGTTGGTAGAGAGAGCAAGGCAGATGTGGGATGAAACCATATTTTCACTGCCAAAGAGTCCAGCAAAGCCAGAAAATGCTGCAGAGTGTTGTTGGCGGTGGAAGGACAATGAAAACAAACACTGGAATATATTGTAAAACATAAATTTGCTCTATTAATAGGAAATCTTATAGAAAACATACTGGAGGCATTTCCTAATAGATTCCTTCCTCCCCCCACCCTGAAAAATCATAATAAAATCCAAGAATTCTTGGCTTAGCGACATCAATAGTTGAAAGAATGCACTTTACAGAAAAGCGCACACATGTTAAAAACATATGGCAGGATCCATAAATGCAGGGTAGCTGTGGAAGTTTTTTCTATAAGGGAAACTTTTCACTTAAGTTCTATTTTGGGATTCTATTCTGCATCAACACTTCAGTCTGGTGTTAGTGGGTGCTGTGCCACTGGAGGTGCCCATCTGTCAGACAAGAAGTAAAACTGAGGTCCCACCACTTATTATTTATTATTTGTATTATCATAGTGCCTAACAGCCCCAGTCATGGACCAGGATCCCTTTGTGCTAGGCGCTGTACAAACAAAGAAAAAAAATGGTCCCTGCAACAAAGAACTTAACATCTAAGTACTGGTCTTTAAGGATCCCATGGTACTCAGGTGTGTTCATAAGAGAGGAACCTGAACCAGAACCTTGGATCGCCTCACACTGAAATTTGGGTTTAAGGGTGGATTGAAAATTCAGTTCCATATTTAACAGTTGTGTCTTAGCTCTAAACTCTCACAATACGTCATTGAGATGAGTATTATCACTATTAGAGAGAGAGAGAGAGAGAGAGAAAATGGAGGCACTGCAAGGTTATAGCATGGCAAAGCGGCTCAACTATGTACCCAAAGTCCCAGGAGGGCTTTGACAGTCCGTGCGGCTGCGGCTTCACTGCTATTGTTATTTGAGCGAGCTAGATCAAAGCTAGCTCAGGTATGTCCACATGTGCTTCTATCACCCCGCTGATTGCAGCACAGACATGCCTTTAGACACTGAGGGGGATTACCTCAAACACTTAGAATTGGCCTAACTCCAACGCTCATTGAAGTCCATGGGAATTTAATCATTGGCTTGGTGTGAGCAGAGTTAGGCCAGTGTTTCTGAAAATCCCACGCACAGCTTTGAATGAACCTGGAGAGAAAGGAGAAACTTCTCTGTTGTTTAATTTCCTTTTTTGATGTACAGGGGAAGAGAGGATAATGGGTGGGCCTTCTTCTCACCACAGATTTAGATGGCTCTTATTGTGAAGCCCCATTTCCATTCGACTTCACTGGGGACAGCTTTCGTTATGGAAGTGACAGCTGACATCTATCATTCTTTTTATCACATATGTATTAACTTTTGAAACAATCTGGTCCAATAAAAAGGAAATGAAAACTCACTGAATGTGCTCTTTTTAGATTGCAGTTTGCTTTGATCACATGCTGTGTGCATCTTTTTGAGTGGCAGCCAACTCGGTGAGGGACATGACCATAAAATACCTGCTCTAGGCTCACCCAGCCTATGTAATCTAGTCTACCTTGCTATGAAGTGATATGCCCTATGGAAAAACCCAACTGAATTTAAAAGATGAGAACCTTTGTGTAGGCTTTTGGAGCATCCTCTGTTATTTGTATTCTGGGAGTGCTACAAGCTCTGCTGACATCAAGTGCTAGGTGCTGTACAAAAATACAGTACAAGATAAATAGGGAACTGAGGTCAGAGAGGACAGTGCTCTAATCCTGCAAATACTTACACATGCTTAATTTTTAATTCAGTGAGACTGTCTACAAGCTTCAAATTAAACATGTGCTTAAGCTTTTGCAAGATCGGGGCCTAAGTGATTTCCCAACGACATACAAGGAGTCGGTAGAAGAGCTAAGAGAAGAATCCAGATCTTCTGAGCCCCAGGGCCACGCTTAACCACAAAGCCATCCTTCCCCCCCATGTCCTGCCTATAAAATTCAATAAGGAATTGTATCTCTGCTATATAATTTGGTAGGATGGTTACAAAAAACCTACACAAAGCTCAGCCTCCTTATTAAAGACTATAGGCTTTCATGATGAATTCTATAGATTTTCAGGTGGTTTTCCTGAGATCGACACCTCTCCAGTGAGAACTCAACGGCGGGTGTGTCTACAACGCAATCAGTTGTGACAGCAGCTTACCCAAGCTAGCTTTGAGCTGGCTAGCTGAGGTAACCATA